ATCCTAAAGACATAAATCCTCAATATATCCTAATGTATCATGCAATATAGATGTTTCCTTGTGTTGTAAATCCATATTTGTAGAAAAAGGAGGAAGAATAAAAATTGCATGTGAAATTTACTTGGAACTGCCTGTCTGGCTCTGGTGTCAGGCTGGAAAGCTCAGAACATCACCAAAATTTCTCATATATTTAAGGCTGAATAACTGTTTCCCCTCAATTACTTTATCTTTTGATCTCGTAAGAAAAATACCCCAGTCTTTCTCATAGTCTTAAAAATTTCCTGTTCATAATGCAGGTCAGGAGGCTGCATTTTTACATTTGGGGAATTTGAAACCATCTGTCTAATAGGTTCAAAGTACAAAGCCAAGCAGTAGAAACTGTGGTCCCACATTTAAGAGATTTAAAGCACTTGAAAAATGCAGGGTTTAAAAAAGAAATAGGCTTTCCTCTTAAACATTGTCGGCCTTGTCCTTATTCAACACAATTATTATTTTTAAACATTCATAACTTTTCCCTTTGTCATTTCTGAGGCATCAAGAAAATAGTTTTAATCTGTGCAGAATTTAGTCAAACTAGGGAGATAATGAAAAAAAGGGTGAAAGATGGTATGAAATAATTACTTGATGTGGGGTTTAATTGGGTCTTACACTACCCTGGGACTCTAGAGGAGACAGAGGCTGAGGGAAGAGGAAGCTCAGAGCAAAGAGCTGAGAAATGAAGGGAGTGGTTCACCGTGAGCTGCAAAAATGAAGGAGAAGGACGGAGTAGATGCCAGACTTAGACAAACTGGGATGCTATTCCAGGTTTGGTGGGTGGAGTGAAAGGAGCCCAATGACAAGGAGCTGAAAAGCAGTCCTATAACATTTCTGCAGTGTGCACACCTTCCTTGCTCCCTGTCTCACCGATAGACACACATAGATTATAAAACCGTGCGTGGGAGCACCACATGGTGCTTTCCTATATCTCTTAAAAATTCCATATGAAACGTTTCATGCTTTACCACCTGTCAGCTTATCTAGATTTATTTTTTTTGCCTTTACTTTTTCAGTTGTTGAAAACAAATGTGCTCTGCTGTTTGTTGCTACCCCTCCCTGCCCACCCCTGGCCTTCCCCCAGCAGCTGCAGTGAAGGGCACAGCCCGTGTGTCCCTGCTGTGACAGAAACCCCCACCTGCCCACGGAGCATGACTGCTCTGCCTGGGGCTCAGCAGTGGAACAGGGACAGGAGTGACAGAACTTGGCTTTTTGGTGCTTGGGAGAACAATCTGTGAAGGAGAACGTGGGCATGAGAAAAGGGGAGGTAGGAACTGTCTGCTGATTCTCAGGCTTGAGAGACTTGAGGGGTGGCTCAGTCTGCACAGAGAAAACTTTCCATGACACCTAGATGGAGAAAGGTCCCTCCTGAGCAGAATTCAGAACTTGTGTCTTAACTGTTTTCTGTTCTCTGATTATACATTAAACAGGATTCTGCAAACTGACAAATACATATGGTGAGACACAACAGCAAGAAATGGTGTTCTCTGGAGGTGGTGAGAGAGGCTGAGTGTAGGAAACGGTGATTCCAAGGTGAGGGGAATAGCAGGAGGACCTGGATAGACTCACATGAATTCTTAGACGTAGCTGAGGACTGCTGCTTGCAAAATATTTTCTTGATTTTGTGCAGCAGTTCTCCCCTTTGCCACAAAAAAGACAATGTATAAATCTGTCAGACTGGAAGGTACCACAATAAATCTAATGCCCGCGTGGCATATTTACAGCTTTATACTTGCCATTGTTGATGGATCTGGACAAACAGCATGCTAATTGCTGTTCTCTAGAGGGGTTAGGAGGAGAAGAATCATTAAAGAAAAGCTCCTTGGCATAATAAAGAATTGCCATTGTCGTTTCCAGCCTTCTTCTGTGTGTCCATGGAGGATGGAGTGGGTTACTTGATTTAAAAAAAATACCGTGTATTCTGCAGTTCGTTTCTTTATTATTACATGAGAACTGTTTTCAAGGAGAAAAAGGATGTATAAGGCAGGTAGCAGCCATGACAAGGACAAGCAACACTGGAATTAAAATGCAAAATGGATTATGTTTATTTGGAATTTTCTGTCATTTAGTGGAGGTTCTTTAATTTGTTTATCTCTCCCTAAAATTGCCTATTGAATTTAATTAAGTGCATCATAGATTTATGAGTCAGGGCAATAAGAAGAATTTTTTTTTTAAAGCAAGCTTGTTTGTTCCTCGGATGAGCTTTTTCAAAGATGTTGTAATTATATGCCTGGGTTACTGCTGGCACAGCAGAAAGTTCACTCAAATACAGCAATTGCAGATAGGCAAGGGACATGCCATGGGCTCAGAGAAGGCTGTCAGCCCCCATGGGCACCCATCTACACCTATCTGTCGGTTGCTTAAGAGATCATTGTTGATGCATCTTTAAATGACTCATCCTGGTTGTAATGCTTTTAATTACATACATGACATATCTCAAGTCATATCTCCCATAGTCCAGGCTTGTTTGTTTTGCATGTTTGTCTAGAATCTTCTACAATTCTCTCCATCTTTTCTTTCAAGAAATATAAAAGACTTGTCTGTATACTTGTCTATATACTTGTCTAAATTTGTGCCCATACAAAAAGCTGACCTGAGGGCTCTGAACTGTTGCCCATCAACAGCATCAAAACCAATTGAGTCATTACATTTACCACAGTACTCAAGAGAGTAAAAAGCCCCTTAGTAGAAATGAGGTTTTGACTGTTTCTCACTACAGCATTCCAGGTAGGTGGTGCATTAATGTTAACGAGGTTCCTAATCGCAGTTTGTCAGTGATGGATCTGTAATAACTAGCCCATGACTCTTCAGATTATTTCTGTAAATAGAAAGATAATAAGGGAACCAAGTGGGTCTGTTTTGTGTGTCTGGCTCACCTGAGGGAAGAACTGTCTTGCCAGGAATAAGGAGCAGGTTATTCATGTTCTGTGTGCCTGTATGAATTGTTCTTCAGTGTACTACATATACCTATAATTGAATGGGCAGAGTCTGAACTCGCTGCAGCAAATTCAATGGAAACCCCCTGATTGAATCAAATTAAGTGAGAGGAAGCCCAACTTTGATTTTGGGCCTTCTCTGTTCCTCCAATGGCTGTAATATATTAAAATAATTACTAATTGATGGGCTCTGAACCTTAGAGTAGTGTGGCTACAAATTACATATAAAAGGATGGTTTACTATACCCATGATAAAGCTATTCCTTTGAGTTTGCATTTCAAAAATGTTTAATACGTTGTTTTTAATACAGATACACAGGGATTAAAACCCCATAAAAATAATAAAAAATGCTTTCTTATTGTAACAAATATGGAACTTTCAGCAAAACAGTGAAATTCTAGTCCAAACTGAGCCCAAGGCAGCACTCCCATTGCCTTCAAATGAGCTGAAGTTTCAACTGCAGTAAGTTATTTAGCAGCTATAAATCTTAGGCTTTCAAACTGGTGCCACAGCATGTTGGGGGTAAGGAATCAGTCCAAAGACGTGCTGTGTTAGTCTGGGCTTCCAATTGGCCAGTATTTGTACTGTGTGAACATTTCATGAAGTCTGTGAAATTCGAGGCTGGTTTATTTTGGTTCAGTAAAATGAGGTAGAAGTAAACGAAGGAATTTAGACAATTTGAGAAAGCCAAGGTGGCTTGGGTTTTTGGTCAGAAACCACAAGATCCATAATGGCTTTGATCAAAATGGGGGGATCTTGGTGGTTTCAGTTGAGTTTCCTGTTCCAGTCTGTGATTCATTAAAACTGAGGATAGCTGTCAGCTGATACTGAATAAAATTTTTCAAACTGAGACATCTTCATGCAATAAATCACACTCCATTGCTACTGTGACTGCCTGTAAATAAGTTTTTCTGTCCAGGTCCCTGAGTGTGGGATCTCTGGAAGCCCTAGCACAAGCTGGAGCTCTCCAGACCCTTGACTCGAGCCTGCAGTGGGAATTTTTAGGCTCAGGCTTCTGCAGCAGAAGAGGTGACACCCACCCAGGGTAGCCAGGGCTGGGGCTGCCACGTAGGCCAAGGACTGAAGAAATGAGTGCCCCTGGGGACTGAGAGCCACTGAGCCCCAGGGCTGCCCTCACAGGGTTTGAGCTGTGGAACTTCAGCAGTTTAACTGTGATTTCAGTACCAGCTGTCAGAGTCCCAAGAAGCATATTGTGTTTCAGAATCAACATATGCTGGCATTTCAAAAGTGAGTTTCTCCTCTATCCTAAGAATTCCACTTTATGGGAATCCTGAAATGTCAGAATTTCCTCTCTGTTGTTGTCTCTGAGTGCTGAAGAGTTTTGATCACTGTTGCTGCAGTTCTCTGAACCTTCTTTGGTCTTTGGTGCTTTCCAAGATGGGGAAAATGCAGCAGCAGGCTCGCTGTGGAGTTATAAAATGGCATAATCATGTTTTCTCTCTTATTCTCTCTTCCTTTCTAAAAATTCCTAATGCTTTATTTGCCTTTTTAAGTGATTCTGAGTACCAAGATGATGTTTTCACGGTACTATCTGTTATAGCTCTGAGATAGCTTTCCTGAAAGTTAATAGCTAATTTAAACTCAGTCACTAAATATGTACAGTTAAAGTTACTTTTCCATGTGTGTTACTTTACATTTATTTACATTGAATTTTTTTCTGTACTTTTATTGCCTAATTATTCTGAATCACGACATTCCTATGCAAACCTTTGCAGTTTGCTTGCCTTTTTACTGCTCCAAATAATTTGCCACCAGGAGCAAATGTTGCTATCCTTGCCACCCCTTTTCCAGATCATTTACAAAAATACTAAATAGCATAAGCCTCAGGCCAGAGGCTTCATTTGAAGTCCTACTATTTATTCCTACTTTACTTTCCTGTCCTTTTAATCTGATATTAATCCATAAGAAGACATTCTCATGGCATTTTATCAACTTTTGGTTAAGAAATCTTGCTGAAAGCCTTTAGGAAATTCAAGCACAGCATCTAAACTGCCTTGTTCTTGCCCTACAGAGAACTCCTAAGAAGTTGCAATGCCAAGACTTACCTGTATGAGAACTGTGTTTGCTCGTTTTTGCTATAACAGGTTTGTTCCTTCCTCTGTGGTTTCCTTGGCTCATTATTTTATGATTTGGTTGTGTGCAGATACACTTGCCTTGAAAGCAATATTCTGAATGAGGTCACAGGCATCCTTCACGGTGAAGTCGAGTTAGGTTTTTTCTTTTGGTACCTAAACAAATTTCCCCAAAAAGCAAATGTTTATGATATGGAAGGATTTTGTCTCAGTGTCACCTACATTGACACCTACTCAGTATATGTGATTGTCACAGTCATTGTCACCTTTCTCATAAGTCAATAATATAAACTTCATTCTGCTATTTTGTTGCCCATACTGGAATTTCACTTTGTAGTGATTCTGTTCCTTCTTGGTATATTTTATTTATATATCAAGATTTATTCTGAACTTTCTTTAGTAAACAGCCTGTATATATATTTGTTCTTATTGCTTATTTTTAGGTGCAAATTCAGGACTTTGTTCAACTTCTGTTTGATGCTTCCTACTTGCATTTTGTTGATTTTTATCCTGTGCTTTGTTGGAGGATGCAGAGCTGTTCTAACTTTCCTCTAGGGAGAATTGTTATCCTAAACTGTATGTTCTACTCCTGCCAGCTTTCTCTGCCTATTTTTTTTTTTTTGACTCAGAAATATTTCTGTAGAACCATTTTAAATGTTAGCACTGAAATAAATTTCCTTAAGAGTTAATGCCATATTCATCTCTGGACATAGACAAACATCTGTCAGCGGTGATATAAAGGCATTTGAACCTGCTTTGAGGCAAGGAGCCTTCTAGCCCTATCACTTCTTTTAAATTGATAACTGGGTAAACAGATACAAGTTCTGTAATCTTCACAAAGTAGCAGATCCATATATTTTTTTCCCTGCAGCTGGATATTGGAGCTCCTCAGAGATAAAGGAAGTGGGTATTCTATTAAAGTGCTGGAGAGACAAGGATTCTGATGTATGCTACCTTTTTATTACTGTTAGGATTGAAGTAAAGAAGGGTTTTTTCTTCTCCCCCAAATTCCTTGTAATATTTTCAGCCATAACTGCAGCAGAGCGGGCAATCAGTATTTGCTTTTAAGAAATACAGTGGTGCTTTGGGGTTTTTTTAATTGGTGATGATGGTATGTTTCCAGTCCTTTAAAATATCCTGTCTTCAGTTAAATTTGTTCCTATGATGTGCTGCAACTTCGCAGAACTCTTTCAACCATATTGGTATGGTCAGCTCTCTTGCAGTACACAGAAGCAAAAACTCACACACTAAAAAAATGCAATGAGGAGCTGAAAAATATTTTTTTTTCTCTATCTTTTTGTTGGTAAATTGTCCATCACTGAATAGCACACCTGTGGTTGTTGCAGTTATTAAGTGACTACGCAGCTTAGGTTGAGTACTTAGGATTGCTAATGTGAAACCCTTCTGCCTCAGCACAGTGTCTGTGAAAACACTTTGGCTTTCACTGTATTTGTCTAAAATAGCACAAGGGGCAGTCACGCTGTACTTTATTCCACTTGCATTCAACACAATGCCTGCTAAGAATAGCTGGATATCATATTGTATAAAAAGTAGCATAATGGCATGTGACTGCATTTCTGATGAGGGAGGCGGTGTGTGACTGCCCTGGCGATGAGCTGCAGCCTCACACTTGGTTATGCAGTCCTGCCTTCCTGAAACCAAACTCTGCATGACTCATCAGCCACTCAAATATTGTCACAGTGTATCTCCATTGCACAAAGCAGTATTTAAGACTCCCTAATCACATTGCAAATAGTGTTGATAATTCTACACGGTGCTGAGAGTGAGCAAAAGACTTCAGGAAATCTTTTCAAAATATCCCTTATGTAAAGATGTAGACATGATATATATATATACATATATATATGAGGTACACAAAATCCCTCAGCAGGAGCTGCAGAAGGATATAGATGAAAGCACTGACAGTGTTGCTGAATTGTTAAATAATAAAGTTTACACAATTAATGTGGCTTTCAATATATCTTATTATGGCTAATTTAACGTTTTCCTTGATAATGTCAAACTAGTTTCACTATTATGATCAACTTCAATGTTGCTGGTAAAACTTGAAGGTGCAAGTCACAAGGACATAAAGATGAGGTTATGTACTTTTGAATTTAAAATACAGAAAAGATTTAGAAGATGGAGATGCTAACAAAAATAGAGGAGTAGAAGAAAGATGGAAATAATAACAGAAATCTAATAGTGACTAAAAGAAAAATTATATGAAATTTAGTGTTTCAAAAATGAATGCACATGGGAAAAATAAACACACACACAAAAATGGACTCTAAATCCTCTACTATTGCTCAGGGAAGAGATCTTGGAGTCATTGTGGGCATCTCTAAAGAATTAGACCATTTCTTAGCAATAAAATAGAATCTGAGGCATTATTAGTAAAGGAAATGAGAACAACACTATAAACATTGTTACACCATCACTTATTCCCCATTTGTCCACATGTTGAATGCACAGTTCTGGCCCTGCCCTCTCAGGGAGGACACACCCAGCACTGGAAATGTAGAGAGAAGGGGAACACAAATTGTCAATTATGGTCAAAAGCACTAAAAGGTTTCTCAGAGAGGAGATGTCAAATGCATTGGGATTCATTCATCCAGAAAGGGAGATGATTGAGGGAAAATATGATTGGTATCTATAAAATAAATAATGTGAAGCTGGCAGGTAGATTACAAATATATATTGTTTCCCATAACAGAATAGTGGAAGCTTCTTTAGATGTTAGGCAGATCTAAAGAAATTAAAAGATGACTTTTTTTTTTTTGTTGAACATACTCAGTTGCAAAATTCATTATTACTGGAAGTTTTTAAGTACAGAACTGTAAATAGGTGTAAAAAAGAACTAGGCAGCTTACCAGAGGATAGACACAGCAATGACAACTAAACAGGATTGTTTGGATGCAAATGCTGTTTGACTCAGGAAAAGCTAATTTGTGGATCCCTGGGAGCTGTGAGTGCAGGTATCAATGGCAGTATCACTCTGTTTTATACCCCTTCCTTCCTGGTCACAGCTGGAGACAGTTAGGACTAAACTGACATTTGCTCAGACCCAGTATGGAAGTTCCAATGTTCCCACCCAGAAAACTAGCATGCAGTAACTAAAGATGGTTATAAGATTTTTGTGTGCTATTGAATGATTCAGAATCTCCAGTGTTTATGGATCAAACACAGAGGTTATATGAGCTAGATGGAAAATCTGGTGTCTGGGAATTCTGGACCTCTGGCCATCCTGATCCCCTGTGTTCATTTCCAATACGTATGAAATGGTCACACCACCTCTGGCCTTCTTTCCTTGCCTCCCACTAATGCACCCCATTCCTTTGGTTTTGTTTTGGATTGAAAGCTATTTGGAGGGGAAAAAACAAACAAACCCAAAAGAACAAAATATCCTTCAGGGATTGTATCCTGGTTTTTGGCTGAAACCTGAAGAAGCCACTGCTGGTTGATGTAGAGCCCTGCTGAAGAAGCACAGCCATGGATTTCTGATGGATTTGCACATGAGCAGAGCTCACCTCCTTCTCCTCTCCTGGGTCTGCAGCTTCCCTGTCACAGCCTTGCTCGTGCCAGGAGGTTGTGGCAGCACGTCCTGTGCTATGCCAGCCTGGACAGCCACACATACACAGCAATGCACTGGGTCTTCCTCTTCCTTTAGCTTTAATTTTTGATGAAATATGCAGAAATTTCTATGTTTGAGACCTTTAGTCTTCTGTCATATTGGCTGAAATTGTTCAACAGGTTCCAAATGCGCTTGAGGGAAAATAGCAAACTGACAGATGGCCAGGCAACACAACCACATATGCCTCATTTCTTGAAGAAACAGGTTAAAAATACATCATTATAATAGACTTTGAGAAGGAAGGCAAAGAATGACAGGAAAACAATAGGTTAGAAAGTCAAGAATTGGCTATCTGATGTACACCTCTGCCCCTCATGGTCCTTCAACTTCAGCAGGAAATGGCTCCCGGTTTTATGTGTCTTTTGGAGCTGCACATTCTCACTGAATTGCCTGATTCCATCCCTGAGCTCTGACATGTCCAATCTTTCTGTCTTGTTCTGACAGAATGTACCACCCTGGGATTCATCACTGGTAGCTGCCACTAGGGAAGGGGTGAAATCAGAAGTTACTCCTGGTTTACAGCTGTAAGTAACTTATATGGTGTTACAGTGTATATCTATAGGCTTAAGTTACAAAATAGTGAGTTAAAGGTCTCCTTGTAGAGAGCTGGAAAGGGAGGTAGCCTGTATATTGTTTAAATTCCCTTTCACTAAGCAGTTTTCTGTCGAATGGGTGTTGTTGAAAATGAAAGATTAAAAGTGTTGGTTGCAGCTGTGTAATACTGGCTGGTGCTTTGTAAGCTTCCAGGTGCAAGTATGCAAGGTCCTTCTGGATTTGACTTTCACAAACCTGCTCAGTGGAAGTTCCTAGACCATTCTGAAAAGAATTTCCTAACCATTCTCAAGGAATGACTTTGCTGTGCTAAATTTTTGAAATTTGAGGGAGTTTTCTGTAACTGAGAACGTGCAGAATCACTTCTGGGTGTTTTAGAGATGAGGATGAATAGATTAAATAATTGCATAGAGCTATTTTTCACTTTGAAATTGGTTCCGTGCCAACTCTGTAAAGTCAGCACATGAACACAGTGCACCACATGTTTTTCACTCTTCCACTTCCCTCAATTAACTGGTCATATCAAGATGGACTAAGTGTTTTCTCTTCCTCTGCTCTTCTCTGTTGCACAGTTGCTACAGCTGTTGTCATATTTTAATTGAAGGAAAGCAACAGCCTAAATGTTTCTGTTTGTTTTGCTGCATGGTTTTATTTATGGGACCGATTTTTTGTGAAAAGCTGTCTGCTTATATTGGAGGATTGTAATTGTCCTTCTGTGGGCAAAGAATACATATTAAAAATGGAAATCAAGAAGAATTCTTCTGCTAACAAGAAAAATATTATTATCTTGCCTGTATTTAGAGATGTGGAGATAATCTCCTTAGATTTTCAGTAGCAGCAGGTTAATTAAAACAATCACCCCTTCCTTTTTAATTTTAGGAAACTGCTTCATCCCCTGAGATAATGTTAGGAAGGTACAGCACTTCAGGAGGGCAACATCCTGCACACAATAGAAATAAGCAAGAGCTGTCTCCATTCTCTGTCATTCACAGTGTTAGTAAATAGATTAAGCAAAAGGAAAACTTTGTCTGACATTTTATTTATACTATGAAAGTACATGATATGAAGTTCTAGCCCTAGTTTCCTTTAACATACAAGTGCTCCATAACCAAGGAAGATAGTTGCTAGAGAAGGGAGTTCATGGTAAGGTGTATCCATGCCCAGTGTTTGCCCTCACACATACAGAGTAACGTTGCTTTGTCACAAGATATTAACACAAAAATGAGAAAATGGGTTTTGCTGAGTTCCCTGAAGCAGTCAAAATATTGTTCTCTGGCACAGTCTGCCAGTGGAGGCCAGCAGGTGATACCTGAAAAGATGTAAGGGAGGTCTGATGAGACATCTGTGTGTTTAAAGTCAGTCATTGCATTTGACATTTAGTACAATCAATTTAAAAGCTGCAACTTTTTTATTTACTGCGTTAAATTTTCTAAAGTTGCTTTAGTACAAGATATTTGGAAGGAATTTAATAAATGAGCATCTCTAGAGCCCTGGAAGATGTAATCACTCTTCTTACCCAGGCTTCCTCATGAGTCTTTGGGTTACAGCGAGAGCTACTCTGCTGTCAGAGCAGAGTCTGCTGGCACAATAACTCTACTGTACTGATTTCATCAAACTGGTTTATTAGAGGCAGATTCTTCCTCCTCTATTCTTCTTCCAAGTCAGTCTGTCTGCCTGTTACCTTCCAGTCCTGCTGCCCACCTCCAAGTGCTGTCTGACTGGAGCTCTCACCCCCACAACACTGTAGTGGGTGGCTGCTTACGTGTTATATTTTAGATATTGTATTTAGGTTTACACATAGGTGTTGGCTAATATTTTATATAGCTGATAGATTTTTAGATTTGTTCCCTTTATTATTATCTGAGTTTTCAAGGATTCTGTTAAAAGCAAACTCTCAAACCCTTGACAATACCAGTGGAATAAGACCATCTAGGACTCTGCCAGCCCAGCCTCAGTGCCAGCCCTTTTCCTCGGGGCAGCTGCACCTTTAAGATGCCCAAATGAGTCTGTTGAGTTTTGCAGATGCTCCCGTTGCACTGCACTGAGCAGGTGATTAGAGGAAGGCAAATTGCCTTGTCTCACTTGTCTTTTATTTTCATGTATTTTTAGGTACTGTGTCCTGAAATTTAATACAAACTATCCAACCCTGATTGCTGTCCCACTGACATCTCCCTAGTTTTCTGTGAAGAGATGCCATGAATTCAGGTTCTGATGTGAATCGAGTTAGGCTGTTGGTGCTGCCAACCCCAAATTTAGAGAATAATGAATAATGTTCAGAAAAGGTTTCATTCTCCTTTCAGGCATTTTTAATGAGAAATGATCTTTCACCCATGAATCTATTTCTCTTCTCAACACTGAATATGCAAAGTTTGGTGTCCAAGTGGATTTTTATTGAGGCTCTCAGTGCCTTGTTCAAATTCTCTAAGGCGCTGATTTCAAGATGTTGGATAAGACATTTCTTAATGAATTAGGAAAGTGATCTTATTACACTACAAAAGTCTTGTAATAAAACATAATTTTCTATTTTCAGAGTGTTTTCAGATGGGATTTGCAAGACATTTGCATATATGGTATGACTTTGCCTGTATATTGCAAGATAAATTGGTGCAGTTTGAGATAATTTCTACTAGATATTCTTTGGATTTATCAAATAGTATTGCTATTTCTAAAGCTACTGTGAAGTAAATCAGATGCTTATCATGTTAATAGAAATATATTAAAGTGTATAACACAAGGATAGCAAATCCAGTGTGTACCAGATCATATATGTTAGTAATACCCTACTGCAAGTCACTGATTGAACAACAGCAGCTGAAGAGAATCAAAGGGCCTCTATATGTTTTTTGTTCCTCTTGATGTTTAATGAAAGCAACATTAATATCACGCTTTATGGTTGTGCTATTTAACTTTTAACTTAATGTGTTCATATTTCTGTATTAATTACATAGTTCAATTCAAGGGGCAAATATTATGTATACTAATAACTTAGGCATCCACTTCACTTAGAGCTGAACATCAAAACATCTAATATTGCAGGATTATATTCACTATCTACAACCCTTTTTGATACTGTCAGCTTCTGAAAACAAAGGCTAGTCAGCTAAATTGACTCTTTTATCCCTCCCTGGGGGAACTCCACAAAGAAGAGAATTAGTGCTGTTAGCATTTAAACTGTGAAGCCCTTAAGAAAATATTTTGAGTCCTGAGAAATCTCAATCTGCCAAATATGGTTCTGACAGGGGGTTAATTGTCTAGAGGTGGAATTAATGTTGTGTTGGCAGGAGATAAGAACTTTACCATAAGGTGTGGGGTAGCTGTGGGTAACTGTGATAGTGCAGCAGGTCAGCAGATGCTGTAACAGATACTGATTTACCAATACTCAGAAGACTAAAGTAAAAATTCTGTTAGATTTGGGAGTTTAGAATGTTTAAGGGTGCCCTGCCTTGCCACAGCTTGTACACTGGCTATCAGTCAGGCACGAGCAGTGCACTTCTGTTGCATATGCTGATTTCAGCGAGTACCCTGCGCTGGGGGAGCCTCGGCCGTTGACAAAAAAAATCTTAACAGATGTGGATTGGTGGTTCAACAACCCAGAAGTGACTCTGAAGATGTTCACAGAATGGAGATAATAAATTCCAATAAAATCATAGTAATAAAATCCCATTTTTTTAAATTGACTCTTAGAATTATTATACAGAGTGAAAAGAGACATGTATTTTTAGGTTAACAGCCAATGCACATTGAGTTAATTCCCATTGCAGTTTTTAGACTCTGACTGGAACTTTTAGTAACTAGCCAATAAGGTATGCCTGAGCACTAAGAAAGTTGAAATATGTTTGACTCATCTATGTTGGGTTTTTTTCAGGTATCTCAATACTTATAAATGCATGACACAAAGGAGGATGTTTGCACAGGGTTTCATTAAGATTAATTTATGACAGCATTACTGCTCTTGAACAATGTCTAAATTTAGGGCTACCCTACAACCCAGGGCTTGAGCTTATATCTTTATAACCAGCAGCTACATACTGTATATATACAGCTTATAGATGTGTAGCACCATCTACCTCTGGGAATTAGAGACTGATGGGCTAGAGAGGGAAAAAGGAGAGGTATAAAAAACTTGAGTTAAAAAAATTTGATTTTGGCAGGAAGCTGGTTGTGGCTGAGCTTGTTAAAGATTTGGAGAGGTACTGCAGGAACAACAAGAATCCCTATATTTTTGGTGCAGGTGAAATCAGGAATGGACATAAAGAAGTATATAATTCTGCTTTTGATTAATGCTAGCATATCATAGAAGCATCTGTCTGTGTGCCAGATAAAGTCAACAACGTGTCTCATTGTATTCATGGGTGTTTACCTTGTCCCATTTATTAGGCAGTGCTGTGTCCCTCCATTGCTCAGTTTTTCTGACCATCAGGGAAAATGTTTGAAACAGGGAGAATATTTGAAACACCTTCATCATCTTTGCTTCTTTTTGCTTCAGGGTGTTAGCATGGGTATTGCAGACACCAAGAAAAACAGCATATTCATAGACAGCACTCTATCAACAGGCTTGAGGGGAAACAAGCTGCTGGAGGCAGAAAACAAGCTCTACTTGAGGATATTTCTTAAATAAGAAAGAACTGTACTTGCCTTTCATAGCTATTATGAAATAGCTGAATAGTTTTGCCAGATCTCCAGAAAGATCTCCAGAACCATGTGCTAATGTACTTTTTTCCCCACATCATTCATAAGCACCAGTTTTTTTGTACATTTCTTTCCTAAATAAGGTACAATGTGGAAGTGTAACTTTGCTCTTAGCAGAAAGACACTTGGAGAGTTTTAGTTAACCTCAGAGTTCAGCTCCTATGGGAATGTGGAGAAAACTGTGCTTTCCTAATAAAATGTCGCAAAACAGTTGAAATCCAAATTTCTGAGAAAATGAGGACACACTGAAAACACTGTGAAACCATTAGAATGGCACAAATATATCAGGGGAGAGAGTTTACTCCAGAGCTTTTTGTCTTCCCAACAAGTTCATTATTGTAATACATTATTCAGTCTTGCTTTACTGCATAAATGCAAAACACTAATTTATGTATAATGGAAGACAGAGATTTTGCCCTTTCTAGTATATGTGATCATTCATTTGGAATGACTACTTGTACAGATCTGTGCATTGCACATCATTGGATTATTTATTTTTGTTATAATAACGGCATATAAAAGGCAAAAGGGAAGAAAAATTGTGTTCCTGAATTATGTTTGCATAGCTGAAGTTTCTTTCAGCCTCTTCAAAAGCCTCAGGCTCTTCTACCTGGGCATCATGGTTCTACTCTACAAATGTGATGTATGAAATCTGAGCTCCTGAAAGAGTATCCTCAGCTCCCTCCAGAGACTTAACAACTGCAGAGCAAAGCATGCCTGGTCTGTGAAAGCTTCTCTGTTTTACAGTCACATATTCTTTGGGAAAGCAGCATTTGACGAGGACTTATTTTCAAATTTGACTTTGCTTTTGGTGTTCCTGTCACATTCCTATTGTTAAATGACTGTCATTTCCTCCTTCCACCCAGGGCTGTCTGTTCAGCTCCTCTGGATTTAGCACAGGCCTGGTAATCCATGCTATTGATTCAGAAGTCCATCATTAGAGCAGCAACAGAGACAACTTTCTTTGGTTTTGTTCTCTACAAAATTCTGCTAATTTGTGGATGGCTATTGATGTGGGAATCCTTTATCTTGGCTCTCAGGGAGTTGAAATGTGAGTGACATTCCCAGTATTAGGTGGTTTCCCTTGATTATAAGTTTGCCCACTTTTCCACGTGACTACTGCAACTGGTTAAATATATTAAGACTATTTGTTTTATATATGTATGTGTGTGTCTCTTCCAGTGTATTCCTGGTCAGAATTCTGGTCTTCTGGGGACAGTTTAGAGAAAATCTTAGAACCTCAAGTCCAATATAGAAATCCCTAATCAGTAGATC